AGTCAGACCCAAACACAGGCTATTTCTGGTGCTGTGCTGTTTGGAAGGTAACCAGGCCAGAAATAGTTCTCTGCATTAGCAAGACCCCTCCTGTCCCACCCCCAGCTCTCCCAGTGAAATCACTTGGAATCCAGAGCATTTTCCAACATTCCTAGAAGACTGTGTAACTGATGGGTGGCAGCACTCTCTTCCTTCCCAGGAAGGTCCCGGAGCAGAACATTTGACTGTAAAAGGGATTCTGGAAGAGGGAAAGAAAGGGAAAGAGCCACTGAGTCAGAGAGCCCCAGAGAGTGCGTGGGAAAGACCTCAAGGGACTGGGGATGGAGGAGAAAGAGGGGAGCCCTGGGAGATGAACCAGGAACTCAGGGGGACTCGCAGCACAGGAGAGAGAAGGGAAAGTGCACAGGGGACTGGGTGTGGGCCTCAGAAAGGAGAAGAACGTGCCCAAGTCATACAAGAGGGCAATCGGAGGGCAAGGCCGTGAGGTGGAGGGAAGTCAGTAGGGGTACTGACTCCGTGGGGCCAGGGAAGGGCCTCCGGGGAGGCGTGGAAAAAGTGAGTCTCCTCTCGTCACCTGTCCCAAGACGGATGGACCAGACGGCGGCTTTCCCAGTTATCTGGACTTGGAACTTCCCAGCAAAATCCACCATCCCATAACAGCTCATCACCTTATCTTTGATACTCTCTAATACTATCTCTGACTTATCTCTGACACTCTCTGTCCATCTCTCCACCAGTGAGCAGCTATTTCAACAGCAGGGACTTTTCCCTTGCTGCCCCTTTGACCCCTTACAAAAGAGCGGAGGCTGGAATGAGACAGTGGAGTCCAGGCAGGCATTCGGGGTTCAGGGAAAGGAGGGACAGTGACGGACCCTTGAGTCAGACTGGGTTCTCAGCAGGAAGTTGCTGGGAGATGGGTTGGGGGCAGGGGGGTGGGCAACGCCCCATCACCCCCCAGCAGCCATGCCCTGCTGGGTGGAAGGCCTGCTCTGTAGAGGGGTGGACAAGGCGCAGGCCAGACTACCCGCAGGGAGGAGCGGCAGGGATCATGGAGAAGTGTGATGTAGATCCAGGTGGCCCCAGCTTTGCAAAGGACAAGCCAGACACTTCCATCTGCAGCCCATCACCCTACATTTGACTTCAGTTCCAGGCACACGCCCACCATTTTCCCACCAGTCTCCTTCCAATTGGGAAATGAGCCCTTAGCAAGCCAGACTTCTCTGTTGGAACAGACCCACAAGGGTCTAGGTGATGGGCGCCCAAGCTCTCTTGGGCCCTGCAGCCTAGTGTCTTCTCTGGAAAGGTTTCAGACCTAGCTACCAGGTCTGTGACCGGAACCCAGGCTTCCCACAGAAAACACCCGGCCTTCTAGGAGCGGGACCTACCAAGGTGCAGGCAACAAGCTCCTAGAATAGCAGACCGAGGAAGAGAAGAGGACCAGCCTCAGGAGACTGGAGAGACCAGGGGCTGGGGCACTTCAGGGAAGCTGCCTCTAGAGACAATGCTTCTTCTCATTCTTTAGGGCCTTGGGCTCCCAGCCCACACTCCTAGACCCCTGGCTCCCCTGGGGTCCCTAAAGTAGGAGGACAAGGTACTGGGGGCATTTCAGGATCATTTGGACTACTTTTTCAATATACATAACCATTTTATTGTATCTTAGTCTTCTGTGTGAATACCGCGCTCCATTTGCCTCCT